GCTTGTTATGGTACTGCAGCTGAACTTCCGGTTTTGTTATCTCAAGATCCAGACATGCTATGGTAATGAAATTTGGATGGTAGGTAGCTCTTGTGCTGGGGAAGAAGTGACGTGAGTTTAGGCCCCCTAGCGGCTTGCTCTAGAACTGCAGGGGGGTTTAAAGGACAAATGTTTAAAAGAGGATAACTCAAGAACCGATTGATGGATCATCGTGATTTTTGGTATGTAGGTAGCTTAAGTGATGCTTGACATGATGATATTACAATTATGCGAATATTGATGTAATTTGCATAATTAATGAGGAAATTCTATAAATCAGCTGCATTCCATGATAGGAAGTTCAAGCTTGTAGCATATGTTATTAGGAACGAGAGAAACACAGGCAAATATTGATTATGCAAATGAAGACTTAATTTGCATAATTAATGAGAAAATGTTATAATTGCGTAGTGGTAACTGCCTGGGATTTCATACTTGGGGTGTTTGAAAGTTAAGTTAAGGTGAACATGATTAAACATAACTTATTCAAATAAGGACCACATTTGCATAATTTATGAGAAAATGGCATTCTTTGTTAAGATAAGACTGTCTTTTGGTGGAGAATATGATCAACAGACTGATATAATTCATGCAATTGAGGATCCTATTTGCATAATCAGGGTGATTAGTATATTTCTTATTCATAAAGGCTAACATCATTTGGCGAAGGTATGAGATCGTGGAACTCTAGTTGCATAATGCAAACTGTTGATTTTCAAAATAGATAAAAAAACGTCCGTGCCCCGCATTCCAATGCTGGAGCAGGAAAGCTTGAAATACCTACCAAAACACTTGAATACAGACATACTGTCAGTATGGAAATGCTCTGTGCAGGTGTTGATCAAGTTAAATCCCAACAGCCAATCAGCAAGAAGTATAGAGGAAAGCTGCATGCCTATTGGTTGATGCCCTGCATTCCATTGTGATGACTCATGCCCAAACGTGGTAAACAAGGCAAACTAACACAGTAATACATTTGCTATAACACAGCCAAAAAACTCAAATAAAACCATTCTAAAAGCCTGTATCACAATAATTTAAAAAACGCCTAGGGGTATTTGCCCACTGTACCTCCATACCAAATTTCAGGACCTTAGGCCCTAAAATGAAGAAGCTGAATCCATTTAAAAAATGGCAGGAGAAGGAGGAGGAGAAGAAGGAGAAGAAACATCAGAAAAAGCAATATGGTTTCGTGGTGTGGTGAACCCATAAAAATCAAAATGAAAACAGATAGAGTCTGAGGGGAAAGTGTGTACCTTGGTTCACACAGTTTCAGCAAGGAGGTTATACATTTGTATCTCCACTTATAACTGCCTTGGTTTCAGAAAGTGAACCAGATTCAAGTTTTCGTCCCAGCCCTATGTTTCCATGTTTTCTTCTTGTTTAATCTCTACTAATTAAACGTCAACAACTAAAGAAATATTGCTAAATTGAAGTATCCTGTCTATAGTGACCACCTGTCCACATAGACTAGATTTTATTGGACTCCCCTGAGTGATCTTCTTAGCCTGGTAAGTATTGACTGCGTACAAAGTCAACCTTCTGTATTTGATGATCATGATGTTGGTTGCTTCCTTGAATGTGAACTACCGGTACAGCACTTCCTGACACTGATTGCTTAATCAAGACCCTTTGTGACTATGTTGTGTAAGTGAGGTTCCTTAGGAGATACACACATTTGTAAGACAGTAACCCTTAGTTAGCAGCACGTCTGTATCTGTACTTCTTGTACCGGTATGTTATCCTCTGTTTGCCATGAGTTTGTTCAACTTCAAACAAGGTACTTGATAATTTTGGTATCATGACTTTATATGAGGATGGCTGTTTCCTTGAATT